TCGCCGTCAGGTATCCTCTCCTCGTGAACTGAACCCCAATGTCGAGGCGGGTCCCCGACAGACCCGGAACATCGTGACTGGCCTGAGAATCGGAGCCCCGGTGCTTGCTACTTACAGTTACACCTCCTACTCAGTATCCCAGGAGCGTTTCCTACATGAGCTAGAGGACGAGGCCAAAACTGCCGGAGCCCAAACCCTGGTTAGAGCTTCAGGCCCCTGATCCTGATGGCTACCACGCAACTCCAACCTCCTGGGGTCCCTTTACAAGATGGATGATAGTCCATGATCCTGTAGAAAATGAAGCCTGCTCACAAGTTTTGTGGGCCTTAATAACCTCATACCCTAACTAAACTCATTAAGCCAAGGCATTCTGTGTTTGGTCATCGTAAAAGGAACATTGTATGCCTCGTTACTCATTGTGCGCAGTGAGCAAGCCCTTCTTGTAGTCTGTTTCCGTGTTTGACAAGTGGGCAACCCTGGTTTTTCCTAACAGTGCTGACTGGTTTACCCCTTCACACCTGGGAGGTGGGAGATGGCAGCTCCTAGCAGTGTTGTAACCTGAGGTGGGAATGTTGAGCCATGTTGAGAACAATACACTGACTCACTCTCGAAAAAAAAGGAACACATCAAATGAAGTAAAATGAAGAGAATTTGTCTCCAATGGGCCTGCTCTAAAAGAAATGCCCAAAGAAGTTCTTCAGGCAGAAGGAAAATGATTCAAAAGTAAAACTTGAAATCTGAAGCATGAATGAATGATATATACTATTATTTATAAAAACCTTAAATACAAATATAATAGACTAATTTTCTCCTCTTAAATCCTTTAAAATATGCCTGACAGTTGAATAAAACCCCAAAAACTATCATTGTCTGGTGGTGTTTTGTAGTATCTGTGGAGGTAAAACTAAGGTAACTCAAAAGTATTGTTAGGAGCGTCCCACTTCACACATGCACTCGTTTGGGCCTATTAAATTCAAGGTAGAAAAGTTCACTCAGAAGGTTATGATTATTTTTGGGACTCCAAAGAGATAATCTTGATAGATCTTCTCAAAGGACACAGGACGACTGATCACAGGAGCTTTTTGGAAGAAATTTAATGTCAGAAAGTAACGGGACCCATATGATCCTAAGGCGGGCCTCTGCTGTTTAGTATGGTGAGTCCTACTGTGGTGCTACAGGACAATGCGCTGGACTGCAAGGTCAGATTGAACTGAAAGGTAGGTGGTTCAAACCCACCAGCTGCTCCTGGAAACCCTACACAGGACGTCGAGGGGTCGGAGCCGACTCGACATTTAACAACAATGACTACTGTAAGACTGCTCTCCTTGTCTGTCTTGCCAACTGCTCTCCTGTCTGTCTTGCCAACTGTTCTCCTTGTCTGTCTTGCCAACTGCTCTCCTTGTCTGTCTTGCCAACTGCTCTCCTGGTCTGTCTTCCCAACTGCTCTCCTGGTCTGTCTTGCCAACTGCTCTTCTTGTCTGTCTTGCCAACTGCTCTCCTGGTCTGTCTTGCCAACTGCTCTCCT